GGAAAAGCGAATGTGGTTGTGGATGCTTTGAGCAGGAAGACAATTCATATGTCAGCTTTGATGGTGAAAGAGATGAAGCTAATTGAGCAGTTCAGAGATTTGAGCATGGTGTGTGAGGTTACTACAGATGGTGTGATGTTGGGCAAGTTGCAAGTGAGGAATGATTTCTTGGATATGATACGAGAACACCAAAAGCTAGATGTGAAATTTGTGGATTTGATGCGAGAAGCAAGAAGTGACTCCGATAATGAATTCAAGTTGGATAGTGCAGGTGTGTTGAGATTTCGGGGCATAATTTGTGTGCCGGATAACAACGAGCTGAAGAAGTTAATTTTGGACGAAGGACATCGTAGTAGCTGAGTATCCATCCTGAAGCTACGAAGATGTATCAGGATTTGAAAAAGTTGTTTTGGTGGTCAGGTATGAAAAGAGACATCGCCCGTTTTGTTTATGCTTGTTTGAGATGCCAGAAATCGAAAGGGGTACATCAGAAACCGTCTGGTTTGATGCAACCGTTGGAAATTCCAGTTTGGAAATGGGATTGTGTAACCATGGACTTTGTTACGGGATTGCCGAACACGACAAGAGGATTTGATATTATTTGGGTGATTATGGATCGGCTTACGAAGTCCGCTCATTTTGTGCCGATTAGTATCAGTTTTTTGTTGGAGAAGCTGGCAGAGATTTATGTTCGGGTGATTGTGAAGCTTCATAGTGTGCCGTCGAGTATTGTGTCAGATTGAGATCCGAGGTTCACTTCAGAATTTTGGAAGAGTTTTCAGGAAGCTTTGGGTACCGAGTTGAAGCTGAGTTCAGCGTATCATCCTCAAACTGATGGTCAGTCAGAGAGGACTATTCAGTCGTTGGAGGACTTGTTAAGAGCCTGTGTGTTGGAAAAAGGTGGTGTGTGGGATACTCATTTACCGCTGGTAGAGTTCACGTATAACAACAATTACCATTCTAGTATCGGAATGACACTGTTTGAGGCTCTTTATGGTAGGAGGTGCAGAACTCCTCTGTGTTGGTATGAGTCAGGTGAGAATGTAGTTTTAGGACCAGAAATTATGCAGCAGACTACTGAGACAGTTCAGATGATTCGTGAGAAGATGAAAGCGTCTCAAAGCAGGCAGAAGAGTTATTATGATAACCGAAGGAAAGAGTTGGAGTTCAGTGAAGGTGATCATGTGTTCTTGAGGGTTAACCCAGTGACTGGTGTGGGTCGTGCATTGAAGTCCAAGAAGCTGAATCCGAAGTTTATTGGGCCGTATCAGATTTTGCAAAGGATCGGTGTTGTGGCTTACAGGGTGGCGTTGCCGCCGGAACTTTTGAACTTGCATGACGTGTTTCATGTGTCGCAGATTCGGAAGTATGTATCAGATCCATCTCATGTGATTCAGAGAGATAATGTTCAAGTAAGAGAGAATCTTACTGTTGAGATGATGCCTTTGAGGATTGAGGATCGTAGGATGAAGCGACTCCGAGGGAAGGAGATACCTTTGGTGAGAGTAGCTTGGGGAGGTGCTGCAGGAGGCAGTGTGACCTGGGAATTGGAAAACAAGATGCGGAAAGCGTATCCAGAATTGTTTCCATCAGGTATTTTTGAGGACGAAAATAATTAAAGTGGGGGAGAGTTGTAATGTCCATTTTTAATTATTTAAGTTTTCCGGTATTGTTTTGTTTCGGCGTGTTAATCGTGGGACTTATTTGAGGAATTGTGGCCTTGATATTAATATATCGTAAATGATAATGATAATAATTTAATAATTAATAATAATGTTAATATTATTATTATTATTATTATTATTATTATTATTATTATTATTATTATTATGGTTATTAATATTATGAGGATTATTAGTTTGGAATTGTTTTGGAATAAAAGAAATGAGAATTTGTTTATTTGGGATTAAGGGCATAAGTGGTATTTTTGGCAATAGGAAAAAGAGAAGAGCACGGTAGATACGATCAAGAAGAGGAAGAGTGAAGGAAGCAAAGCTTGAGCAAGAGGAAGAAGAAGATCAGAGTCATCAGATTTTTAGAAGTTCTTGGGGAATCAAGCTGCTTATTGAGGTAAGTGGGGAGAAAATAGATGGGAAATTGGTAATGCATGAATAAGGGTAGTTGGGAAGTCCTTAACCCCATAGATTTTGTTGATGATGATTTGCATGTTAATGATCAGTACGATTGTTGTTTTCTGTTTGAATTCTGTCATGGGGAACCATTGCATGTGATTATTTAAAGTTGGTCGGGGTGAATTGAGTGTTTCAGAGTAGATTAAGGTTTTAAGCCAAAAGTGGATTAATCGGCAGAAATTGATGTTTTATCGGACGATTTTAGAATTAGTCGAGTAGAATTTATGTAGAATGCTAAGTTGAGGTTGTTGGTACTGATCTAGAGAGAATTGTTGAGTGTTGAGCTGCTGCTGGGTTTCTGCACAGTGGGATTTCTCTGAAATCGCAGACACTCACTAGCAGGTTCGCTAGGCGAGTGAGTAGCGAGCATTCGCTAGGTGCTCGCTAGGCGAGCTAAGTGGCGAGCCATTCCAGTGGCCATTTTTCTGTACTCGCTAGCAGGATCTCTAGGCGAGTGGTATAGCGAAGGATTCGCGAGGCGAAGTCCCAGCGAAGTGGTAGCGAACACTTCCAGTAGCTCAGAAGTGTGATTCACAAGCAGGTTCGCTAGACGAACGTGTAGCGAGCGTTCGCTAGGAGCTCGCGTAGCGAGCGAGGTAGCGAACGTAGCAGGTTTTTGTTTTATTTGAGCTGTGTTCATCTGATGTTGATGATTGTGATCTGTTGATGTACATAGATAGTGTAAGGATGTTGGGTGTATGTTGAGTGTTATAGGGTTGTTTTGTCGATGTCTAATGTGATTAATTTGATTGATTGTGTGATATATATATATGTATATATATGCGATGTATGATGATGGATCAGTAGGATCGTGTGCACCTTGTGTGTTTGATGGTTGTGTGTTGTATGATGATGGATCAGTAGGATCGTGTGCACCTAGTGTGCTTGATGTTGGTGTATGCATAGCATGATGCATGATGGGATCAGTAGGATCGTGTTGCTCCTGGAGGAGGGTTGATGGCCAAGTGTCCATCGGCGATTGCGGAGTTGAATCGTTGCTCGGATGGAGTGTATGCAATTCACCCGTAATCGTGGTAGGGATAGATCGTTGCTTGGATGGAGTGTATGCGATCTATCCTGAGATTTGATTATATGTGCTCAGGAGGAGCGTGGTAGGGATAGATCGTTGCTCGGATGGAGTGTATGTGATCTATCCTGAGTTTAAGTCGGTACCGCATGCATGTGTTGAGTTGCATTTGTGCATTATTGTATGCTGTGATTGATGATTGGACAGTAGGTCGTGTATGATGATTTGTGGGGTGATGATGTATTCATTTATTGCCTTTATTTCATTAAATATTTACCGTTATATTTCGATCATGTTTTCTCACCCCTTTGCTGTTGCTGTGGTCTGTGCTTCTTCAAAAGTACATATAATCCAGGTGTTTAGCTAATTGGATAGCGGTGTGCTGATCGAGTCTAGGATGCTCTGATACGTAACATGAGGCTTTGGGGAGTTCATTGCCTATTTGATGATTTTGTTTATACTCCGTGTCGTATCATGTTTTGTAAAATTGGGCAGATGGCCGAACATGATGTATGAGATGATGTATATATATGAATGTATGATGTGACAAATGTCTTTCCACTGCTTATTTTGAAAATCTTTTAATGAAATGTTTTGTGGAAAATTTTGTGAAAAGTAATATCCCAATTTTGAAAGTAATTTAATTAATTTATTCACATTTTATTTAATTTGAAAAGTGGGGTGTTACAAGAGTACTCCACCACATTAATGTAAGAGTATTTCACAGGGAAGATCTGCCATATTAAATATTAATTTTAACGTTTTCTTGAATGTAATTAAATATTAATTTTAATTTTATCATCATTGCTTTTTTATATAAAATTTGTAAAAGGGGAAAACATTAATTATTTAAAATAAATTAATAACCATTTTATAATTATTAAAAAAAATTAAATTACCTAATTTTTTCTTTTCTCTTCGGTCTTCACTTTCTTTTTATTTTATTTTATATATTCCATACGCTTTCTTCATTAATCCAACAAAATATAAATAAAGAATTAAATTATTCCGATTTATCTTTTTTTTCAAAACTATTTCTCCAATTTTACTTTTTATATATATATTAAATAATTAATATATCTGATTTATATATAGACTAAATACATTAATTATTTAGTCTATTTAAAAAATAAAAATATTTTTATAATTTAAATTAAATTAGGTTTGCAATTTTTTATAGTCTAAGAAATGAACCTTCATTTTAATTTAATTAAAAGAATTATGAAAAATCAATTTAGGGTGCACCGTTCATATTCATTTATTTCGTTTGATTTTTGAGCCCAAAAAATCAAACACTTCAATTCTCACTCACTCACTTCACAAGACGCAAGTGACACCGTCACCTCTCTCTCTCTCTCTCTCTCTCTCTCTCTCTCTCTCTCTCTCCAGATCTCTTCGCTTTGACCATTTTCGTGGAGAGAGTAAATGAGCACAAAAACAAAGGGTTACTATGTATTTGTCTTTCTAACCCTTTTCAAATTTTCGATAAATTTTTACTATTCTTTCGATTTGCGGAATAATTATAATAATAACAATATAATTAAATTCTGTACATTGGATAATGGGTGTTTGGTCTGATTCATAAAAATGTCGCAAAGGGTTATTCTCGTCAACAAGTAAGACTCTTGGGTTTCTGAGTTAAGGGTTTTCTCGTTTCAGGTAAGATCTTGAATCTCTCAATTTTCAAGTTTGTTAGTTTTGTTCAAATTGATTTGTAGATTTGAGATTTGGGTTTTGGAGATTGGAAAATTTTGTTGTTAAAAAATGTTTTTTTTTTCATTCTTAGTGTTGTTAAGTGATGTTTTTTTGTTTAGTTGTGATAGGAGAAGAAGGATTTTGAGATGGAGAAAAAACGTTCCAAGGGAAGTTTCCTTAGCTTATTTGATTGGAATGCCAAATCTCGGAAGAAGCTCGTTTGGAATAATCCAACATTACCTGGTAATTACATTCATGTCATGTTTCTCTTTAATGTTTCTTTTTTGTTGTCATTTTTTTCTTGTCATGTTCATCTATTTAGGACTTGTTTGGATGGACTAATTTGAGTTTATCCATAAGCCCTTTTCAGTTTTTTTTCTTCCTATAACCTCTCTAGAATAGCTTATGACAATAGTTTATAGTTTATAAGAAACAGTTTAACTTTATTATATCTTTTTTATCATGGAAATAGATTATATAGATAGACACTAAGTGTATGTGTTTGGTTTCACGTTTGGAGCACTTAGAATTGATTCTAGATGTGTAGAATTGATTTTGACATGTTAGGTTGATCTCGAGTAGAATTGATTTTACTTGAATCTAGGTTTGTAGTTTTTGAGTCTAAATGTGATTTTTATACTGAAATTTACTTTTTGCAATAACTTATCCAGACATAAGTCACTTTTCCTTTAACTAACTTTTATCTCGAATCAATTCACTCCGAATCAATTTTTTTCACCGCAGAACCAAACACACACTTAGATAATAGGTACTTACTTAGGCTTTTATTCAAATGCATGAGTTTGATATGCCTATTGTAAATGTTTCTGTTACATCCACTGCAGAGGTTTCAAAGCAGGGCAAGGAAAATCTAGAGAACTTGACAGACTCGCAATTCTATAGGGTGTGAATTTTCCCCCACTCTTTGCTGCATTTTTGTTTTGTCGGAATTTTCGATTATTTTTTGTTTGATTTATTTTTCGGTTTGATGATTACAACTTTTTAGATAAAGGGGGATGAGAATGGAGCAAGTCCGAGTGATATTGCAAGTGGTGATTTTAACTGTGCCGTATCAGGTTGTAGTGATGAAGGGTGTGGTAGTAAAGCCCCTGGGTTAGTAGCAAGACTCATGGGTTTAGATTCGTTGCCGACTTCTGAAGTTGGTGAGCTTTCTGGTGCTTCATTTTACAAGTCTCACGGAGGTTCTCGTTATAATGTGGGTGATCTTCGTTTCACGGATGACTTCTGTCGCGCCAACTACTTAAACACACCACTTAAGCCGGAGAAGTCTTCTTGGGACGCCATGGAATCAAAGGCACGTAAAATGGAAAACCGGCCAATGAAGAGATTTCAGACAGAAATGTTGCCTCCTAAGTCAGCTAAACCCATTCCAGTTACTCACAATAGATTATTGTCCCCTATCAAGAGTAACGGTTTTCTGCCGCCGAAAAATGCGGCTCACATAATGGAGGCGGCTGCTAAAATAATTGATGGAAGCCCTCAGCCATATATGAGGAATAGAATGCTATCGTCTGGGTCTTCATCTGTTCCCCTAAGAATTCTTGATTTGAAAGAGAGATTGGAAGCTGCACAATATGCACCCATACCTAGAAAGCAAGCGGATCCAAACAATACCAACCCATCAAACTGCAAGCCGAGTGAGAGGAGCTCTAATTTGTACAAGTGTACATCAGCATTCAAGGGTTCAAGAGATTCTGAAAAACGTAGTTCGTGTCATTTAACAAGTAAAGGAAAATCAGGCTCTCTTACAATGGCATCGAAAAACAATGCTCAAAGCCGAGATACATTGGTTTCAAATGGAAATAGGAAATATATGAGGCAGAAAGAACAGAATGATATCAAGTCAAACCAGCCCACAAGGAGCCAGAAACCAAATATAAACCGAGTGTTGCCGCAGAAAACGAATGCAAACCGTAACAGCAATGTGCTGGTGCAGAATAATCAAAAGCAAAACGGCATGATTTCCAAAGGTAAATCAGCCTCAAAAATAGATTCAAACAAGCCAACTGCGCGGGGTTCTTCTTCTGAAAGTTCTACTGGAATCAGGAAAGCGACAAACAAGGGTGCGACAAATGTCAATATTCCGCCTAAAAGGTCAGGCTCTAGGGCAACTGATAACCGAAAGGAGTTTCCCCCATCCAAAACACAAAGTATTTCCCAAAAGAAAAAGCATAACAGCAGAGGTTTTCACGAGGCAAGAAGTCCCGATCATGCAAAAAGTGATTTTGAAAGCAAGTCCATAAAATGCAATTTTACAACCGATGGAAGTATTGATCAGAATGCATTTAACATGAACGAAAGCAGTGATGTTATTTCATTTACATTTACATCTCCCTTGAGGAAAAGCATGCCGGAGTCACTATCATCTGACCAAGTGACAGAAACCAGAACTAGATTTGGCGCCGACTCTCTCGGGCACAGTGATAATCTTCATCCCAAAAAATTATCACTATCTCCTACACATATGATAGATAGTGATGCATTGAGTGTCCTGTTGGAGCAAAAGCTGCAAGAACTAACATCGAGACTAAACTTACCTCAATGTACTCTAGCCTCGGAGGAGCCTTCTACCGATTTGAGATCTAGTTTGCAAGATAAAGCATCCAGTATCGTAAACACCACAGATAAGGAACAAGACAAAATGTTCAGTGATGAACTTAATCGAGTGCATAACTATCGATTTTATTCAAGTGATGAGCCTGTGCTTAACATGAATCAGCAACTGCAGGTATATAATTCTCTTAACATTTTCAGCTTTATCTGTAACGGTCTGATTTTATAAATTAGGTTTGCAATATTCAATTATCTTTGAACTGAAAAGAGTCGACATGCTTACCTTAGTACTCAATCATTTGTACAGACATCGGAAGTAAGGGAAGATCCTAGCTATAGCAGCAACAATGAAAGTGGAAATGATGTTGGTTGTCAGCATTCCAACGCTGATACAAACTTTCCAGGTCCTTCTGTCAGTGAAAGTTACATGGATAGTGAAGACAGTATATATGGTAATGTTCATTTTTCCTTTCCAACGAGCCTTATTTGTTTAGACCCCAGCGCAAAATCACCGGCTTTCAGAAAACATTTAGTCTTTTATTTATTTTTCGAATATCAGTTGTTAAATATTCTTTATGATGTACCTGTGTGTTACGAACTTGTTATTCATTAGATTGTTCATCAATGTTTGGTGTAAACAAAATTCCTAGAAATTTGTTGCTTTTTTCGTAGCGTATGTAAACATATAAAACTGTCTTGCCAATCCGTTTCTTCCTGTTTTCAGGCAGCACGGTTTATTCTTCCATGCAAGATGAAGAAGTGTCTAGTATTTCCCAGATAAACAGATCTGAATCACTTGAAAATGAAGCGATGTCGTCAGAACAAAGCTCTTCTGTATCTACCCTGCGCAACATGTCTGTCACACAAATAATCAGAACACCGAACATGGTAGATTTTAAAAGATCAGGCATTATGGAACTTGATTATGTACAGAACATACTCAGCAATGCAGAGTTTATGGCAGAAGAATTCATCATGGGTCGAACTAACACAGTCATAATGCCAAATCTCTTCGATCTGTTGGAGAATTACAGTACCGGTCCAACATACTGTGAAGAAGAGTGTTCTAAGCTTGAAAGGAAGGTTTTATTCGACTATGTGAGTGAATGCTTAGAGATAAGATGCGAACAAGCTTTTGTTGGAAGTTGCAAATCATGGCCTAGATGGGTGACATCTATTCGGAGGAAGAACATCTTGGCAGAAGAATTGTACAAAGAGATGTTGGGTTTTAGGAACATGGAAGATGTTATGGTGGAAGAACTTCTGAACAATGACATGAGTAGTGGATATGGGAAATGGCTTGACTTTGACATTGAAGCATTTGAAGAAGGATTAGATGTTGAAGAGGACATGATAGAATCATTGATTGATGAATTGGTTTCTGATTTGTTGGTTGTTTAATTAACCATTGGTAGATTCCATTTTTTTAAGTTATAAATTGTAGCATGTAATGAATATGAAGTAAAATTGTTAATACCATTAATTAGAATTCTGAAAGAAAAAAAAAACGCATCAATGGAACAGAACATAATAGCATTCGCACATAGTTTGAGGTTCGAATCATGTTAAGTGTTAACAATTTCTGTGTTAAGTGTTAACAATTTCTGTGCTGAGTTAGTTCATACGGTCGTTCCGACTTTAGAAAAACGACAACTTATAGCATCTATTTGGAGTTTTTTGGTTGATGTGGGTTGAATGGAAGAGTGAGGCCAATTGGAAATGACAAGATGTGTAGACCAAATGGAAATTCTGAGCACATGGCTACTCTGACGTGTTATTTTGTAACAGAATGTGTCTTGTTTCATCCACGATGTTGATGAGTCTCATGTGAGATAATTATGCGCAGTAGACTTTAACAACACGCCATGTGGTTTCTATCCTTATTTGCTTCTTTCAGCTCTGTGTAGTCTTAATCGCATCACTGTTGCTTATTTGCTTATTCGTCTTTTCAAATGTACTTTTGTTTTCTTCTCTCAATGATCACATCGAAAAACAACAAGACTAATATTAAGACTGTCTAGAACTAATGACATCATAGTCTTGGAGATCCCTAATGAGAAATCTAGTTCTTTGAGATCATCTTGATTAATAAGTGGAACACATATTTCAAGTACATGAGACTCGCTTTGATCATTATGAAATAAATGACACACTTGAAGATGATACAACATTTTGACTTTGTAAAAAATTTCAACATTTTACTATTCTATCACCATAAGATCAAACAAAGGTAGATAAAATGTTCTTCTTGAGTGTAAATTCATCTGCCTTGGCTGCACTTATTGACTGTATCAAAAGAAAATTTTCAAATATGCTCAGACAAGTTATGCAAATTACCATAAAAAATAATAGCTTAAAGTTTTGAAATACTAATACTCATTAGAAAAAACTTTACTGTCATTAATAAATTACCTTCTGAAGCATACCCTCGAGACGTTGAATCTCATTCCTCGCGTAATCTTCACCCTTTTCCATACTGCTCTTCATAAGTTTTAAGTAGAGATTGCCATGTCTGAAACAAAACAAAACAAATCAAAACAAAAACAATTCAAATTATGAAACTTAAGCAAACCAGAACAAAAATGGAAATGTTATGATATCATTCAAACCTTGCAGCAGAACCCTTAAGTATTTGAACTTCCTCTTCAAGTTGGGAAAAGAGAAGCTTCTTCTCATCGCCGTCCGCAACCACAAACTCCTTCACCAAGTCATCTAGAGATGCTACTATGCCAGCCTAAAGCAAGAATACTTAATCCATTTAGCTATCAAGTATATGATTCTAATATCTTTTAATGCTAAACATATTTTTAAACTAACTTTAGCAGTAAGTCGACCCTGTTCATCACGGTTAGTGCCACATTTCTCGTTAAAGAAAGCTACGAAATCGTCCAATTCATGACCACCAACATAATCTTCGCCGGTTTTATTGTTCTTCGGGAAAAACTTCAACGTGGGATAGGAAGTAACACCATACCTGTATTAGCAAATAAACCAAATTAAGCACATTTCGATTTGAACTAGTTTAATCAGAAGACAAATAAGAAGATGTTACTTCACTCACTTCTCAGCCAAATCTTTGTATTCGTCAGCGTCGACATTAGCTATAACTACTTCTTCCTCCAACCTGAATACCGCCGCAACCTTTTCGTAAGTCTAAATAAATAGTAAAAACAGTATTAGGATCAACCTTGATATATTCAGCCATAAGCAAGTGAAAATTACCAAATTGTATGATTATAAGCTAGCTATGGTGGAAATCTTAGACAAAAGAATATCCTTACATAAGCAAGAGCTTTGCAATGACCACACCTAAAGACAATAATGAATTTGTCAAGCAAATAGGATTCAGAAACATTGAAAATGAAAAAAAGGTCAGCATATCATGAATTTCCAGAAGATCGTGTTAATCTATACTTACCATGGTGCGTAAAACTCCACTAGAACATCTTTTGTTTCATCTAAGACAATCTTATCGAAGTTATCAGGGGAGAGAACTACCACACTAGATGGAAGAGAAAGTATCTTCACGTTGGTACCTACATTAACAATACTATGCTAAGAAAATGCCGACGGAATGAAGTTTAAAAACATTCAAAATGCTATGAAGAACATAATAGAGACTAACTACCAAGGCAACATATACTGTAATAGTGACAGTCTTTAAGACATGAATAAAATCGAAAACAACATATGGTGGATAGATTATACGGCTAAATATTCAGAACATTGACGCAAATGTGTAAAAGCAAGTAATTGGTAAAAATACACGAATCGTCTATGCAGTTCACATAAATACCTGCTTTCATGTTTATAAAACCGGCAAGAGCTTCAGCGGTACGCGCGCCTTCAAACCTAAAGAACAAGTTAACATTTTCAGTTGTATTGTTAAGAATATGAAATTCTGTCACATTTTGTATGATAAAAGAAATATTTGAAAGGAAAGAAAATTAACAAAGTGCTAACTTCATTGGTGTTAGTGATCCCTTGGGAAACCACTGAATTGATGGGTAACCATAAACTTTATACTTAGTGCAAATGAGTTTTTGTTCATCACAATCCACCTACAAAACATTAATCAAGGTCGGTAAGAATATACATGAAACACTGATACACACATACACGAACATGGTACACGACACAAACATGTCACATATCACATGTCAGGCACATCAAACATATTTGCTCAAAATGCTACAAGTAAACATAAACGAAACATAAATGTTAAATCTCTTACGAGACATTAATTAACTAACCTTTCCAATCAAAATGGTATTGATTTTCTTAAAACTTGCTGCCAATTTTTCATACTCCGGCGCAAGCTTCTGACAATGTCCACACCTAAACATTAAAAAAACAATTCTCATTTGAATTAGACCTTAGCATCATCAATACAAAATCGTATATGATTTGATTCAAGAATGAAAAATTTGTTACAAAATGAGACGTTTTACCATGGAGCATAAAACTCAACGAGAGCAGCACGATCATTACCGACTTCTGTTTCGAAAGAGTCATCTGTGAGGACTACGACGTCGTTGGCTGAAGCCGTTGAGATCAGAAATTGCAGAATCAGTGATCCAATAACCAATAGTATCATAGAACTCCACATTGTTAGGTTAGTTTCGTTTCCAAATAAAAATGAAAAAACGGTTAGAGGAGTGTCAATGATGTGTTTGAAGGAATGCACCAATGGATCCCGTAACTGTTTTTTTTCTTTTCTGTTGGGTTTGTTTCTCTATTGTCTTTTCTTCTTTTTGTTTCCAAATAAAATATTGGTTTCAAATTCATAGACTCAATTTTGTCGTAAAAATAAAATAAAATATATTTTTATTAGTTCACATGACCAATTGAGTTTGGAAAGAAATGATAATCTACTAACATGCTTATCCTTAGTGTTTTTTATGATAACTTTTAACATATATACTTTCATATTTTTCGGTATCAAGGAGAGTTAAGCATCTTCATGGAAAAAAGTTAAGAACAATTTTATTAATTATTAACTGATTCTAAAGACGGTTAATAAGCCAATTATATTTAGTTAGAGTTCAAGTTATAGTTAGTTAGGAAGTTTACTTGTATTCTAAGTAATTAGTTCATAACAACCTCCTCTTGTATATAAACAACATTGTCCTTTGATCAATATATGAGAATTCTCTTTATTTTTATTTTTTAACAATAAAAAACATATTTAACCTCGATTATAGATATTAGTTCATGTCATATTATTTTTCGGTTTTGAAATAATCAAGAGATAAAATATTTTTCACATGAGATCGATTTTCAGCTTTTAAATTTTTATTATTTTCAAAATTGAATGACGCTCTCCATATTTTCTCTCGATTATTTGAGAAACTGAGGTAATAGAAAACAATTATTATCTCGGTTTATAAAAATAATCGAGTGGAAAATATTGTTATTTATTTTTTTTTTCTATATTTTAGTTTGAACATGTATTACAAAACTATATTTTAAACATTTTTAAAACAGAAATATTGTACTTTTTGCTCATTTCTCAAATAGACACATAGTACAAAAAAACATTCATTATTTACTCTATTTGTAAAGTCCAAATGACACATGTATATCTTATAATTTTACAACAAATTAAAACTAAAACAAATGATTAACCAACAAAAACAATAACCAAAATGCAAAGTCTTGTAGACCGTCTATAAGTTTTTTTTTTTTTTTTTATTTGTCAACCGTCGTTAAGCACCTATAATTTGAACTACATTTGAAACCAATTAAGATCATCAATAACAACAACGTTAAATCTTTATTGTTAAGCACCTAAAAATGAGTGTGTGTGTGTGTGTGTGTGTATATATATATATATATATATATATATATATATATATATATATATATATATATATATATATATATATATATATATATATATATATATATATATATATATATATATATATATATATATATATATATATATATTACTAAGTGATATAAAACATTTACTTATTAGTTTTTTCATATCCCCTCTTCATGATTATGACAAATAGTATGCACATCATCATCTGAATCATTTTTTTTGGATGAAAGGCATATGTATATTACAAAAGAGGGGGTATCAAAATTTAAATCTTGATTTTCATCACTATCAAGAATATATTTTTCTTATAGAACAATTGACCATCTTGTGTTAGAAGAGTCAATGAATTAAAAACGTTATTTTTCCTGAATGTCATGATGAATGGTTTGTTCATATAAGGCGTCTTTCGAAGATCAACCTGTGTGAACTTAATTCATCGATTTCTACACTAGCGTTACCATCAATCCACTTGCACTTAAATAAAGACACTTTAACAGTAACATAATCAATCTCCATAATCTCTTTAATGACCCCAAAGTACGCTCTAGATGCCAGTACATGATTCTTATCTTTCGAATTAGAGAAGTACATGAACTCAATTTCAACCATAACCCCACTATTTTGCACGGTACTACAATCATCCTTTGATTTTGTATAGAATGAATATTTAGTAATGTTGTACGTATTCCAGATTATTACATTAAACTTAGGTATATGTGATATCCACTTAATTGTCTCTGATGCAATACTTGAATGTGAGAAAAAAACAAGAATGAGGGGTTGAATTTTGTTAGTCTTTTATTTATTTTTAAAACTTCTTAAGTTAGATTCTAAACACAAGGTTATAGAATATGATTTAGTTAGAGATAGTCATCAGATATAAAATGCAAGAAAGAAGAATAACACACAGAGTTATTCTGGTTCCTCACACAACTCGATACTAATCCAGTTCCCTTGTACTACAAGAGATTTTTCACTATGATCACACAATATTACAATGTACTCTAGCACACAAGTTAGAGACTTTTGCTCAAACACACAAGTACAGACTTCCTTGGTCTATCACACAAGCTAGAGATTTCCTTTGCTCAAACACTTATTAAAAAACTTCTAACAATCTACTAAGACAATAAATAACTGTTAGATAAATACACTTGATATACAATCAGAGGTGTATAAATAATACAACGCAATAAGACTCTTTAATACTAAGGGATTTCTAAGATATATAAGGATAAGAAATCTCAAGTTTATATTGTGTTAATACTTTTACAGAGTAACTTTTTTTGTTGTCAATAGATCTATATTATCATTTGTGCACATGTTAATGTGCATTTTTATCTTCAAGTCTTTTAGCTCTTTAAATAGCAAAGAAACGATCCATTGAAGATGAAACAATAGATTCCTTTGAGAAGCTTCAAAAGAGACGTTGAGATGTTTCACCAAACTGTCAAGTTAGGTGAAACCTAGTTTGAAAAACATTTGCTACAAACGCAATTAACAGTTGTATCCCAACAGATTCTATGAAAAAAATAGAGGTTAGGTCCTCACGTGACAAAGTATGTTCAGAGATGAACATTGGCCTATCATCGTCACCTTAGTCCTTGCGCTTTGACTGGCTCAAGTTCTAATCAAAAGTATACTTCTCCAAAGTCTCTGGTCTTTAGAAGCCGACTCATTCAAACTCTAATCTTTGGATTTTGACTTCTTCAGAGTTAAATCTTCAGCTTCTATTCCATCAGAATTTGATCTTCACGTTTCTCATTGAATGTTTAGAGTCAGAACTAATACTTGAATTTTATATGAAATTTTAGTTTATGGTCATGCACACTTGAATACATATTAGTATACCCAATTATTCTTTAAATAATTTTTCTTATCATCAAAATCTAAGGGGTATGGGATAAACCAATTTTGTTCTAACAATTTCTCCTTTTTTGATGATGACAAACATAAGTATTTAAGAACAATGGTTGATAATTTAATTAACTAGTTGATTGTAGGGTCCGAGGTTTGTAAGCCCCCTTGAGTTTAATAGTCCATAGGGTTAGGTTTATAAGCTCCTCCTAAGTCCTATCTAGGTTAATTAAATTTAAACATTAAAAGCACATATATAATTCTTCAAAATTTGTGAAAGATAATAACTGTCAGATTTCAGGTGCTTAAATACTTCTATGTCTTCTCCTTCTTTTGTTATAAAGAAAAAAATAATGAAAGGAAATAGAAAAGATGTTGAAGAAAGAATATTTTCATATGACCAAAAAGAATAGATGTTAGAAAAAAAAGTTGTTCTAAGTCCTAAAGCCTAAGGTTTTTGTCTTAGAAGCTCTAGGATATCCTTTAGATCAGAACCCATTTCATCTTGTCCTGCAACAACAGTCTTTAGCTGGACATCCATTTCTTCCCGTTTTGCAGCAACACAAGTCAGCTTCTTTTTCAAGTGGTTAGGCTTTTGACTCAGATGAGAAGGACTTCAGATTTTTCAAAATTGTGTCCACAAAGGCTCTGAGAGAGTCCTATTTAGCTGCATATGTTATGGGATCAGATGCAATGAGCCTCTCAACAACCAAATTTTGATAACAGTTTAAATTCTTCCATTTGGTAGGTTATGTGAGGTGGAAGTTTTAGGTTTAGGTTGAAATAAGGGTGAGGTGTGAAGGGATTAGGTAAAGTTATTGTGTTAGTTTCTGACACAATAACTACTTCCATAGAAGGTGAGTTGTGATGGTTATATGATTCAGAATTCTGGACAGGGTGTGGTTCTGATACAGTTTGGTCATTTGTGGGATCTGGTGAAGATTGGTTTAAAGTTACTTGATCAACCTCATTATGAGTATTATTCTCAAGTTGAGATTGAACAAAACTCGGTTGAGGTTCCGGTCTGTTGTAAGTGGAAATATCTTGTTCATGTGTTGGTCTTGATTCTGAGTTCATATACATATTGAACAAGGATGATAGTCTGAACAAAGTTTGGCTGGGAAGAATCAACATAAGGTGTTGTTTTCATAGGGATTGATTGAAGAGACCTGATGTTGAGAGGACTCGAGTCTGATGAGCCAGAATAAAAATTGAGTTATTGCTAGAAGACTTAGAACTAGAGACCTTAGTTGGTGGTTCAAGCATGATATTGATGGGTGTCGGTTATTCTAAAATTGAGACAAAGGCTAGCTGATTATGATCAAAGGACAATTCATCAGCTAGGTGATTTGAAAAATCCTCTAGAATAGATGTTGTAGGGACAATTTCTTGTTGAGAGAAATCCCTTAGCATATGAGCTATGGTAATTATACATGAGTCAGAAGCATGATGAAGAGATGAAGTGACATGAACAATAGATAAGCCATGTTGTGGTGAAGGGGCGTGTTTAGATAAGAATTTTGGTGATTAAGGTGGTGAATTGGAAGAATTTAAATTTTTACTTGAGATAAGGTTCAGATGAATACATGTGTTCACAATATCTGCAACAAGTAAAGTAGGTAGAACTTTCTTCTCGGTGGTTTCATGACTCTGAACAGCAACTTCTTGTGCCAAATAAGAGGTACCAACAACAGAAAGACCCTTAACTTCTACTTGTTTCAAAAGAGCTTCAGCAATAGAAGGTTTATCCATTACCTTATTGAGTAGAGCAACAACAAATAGTCTTGCTCCTTCTTTAACATCCTCAATAGGAATGTTTAGACCATCCTTATTTACAACCTTTGTCCTCCTAAGCAAAGGTTGTTCATCCTCTTTTTCTTCAACAGCTGGTAGCACCATCTTCCCCAACCTCTTCTTCTTAA